GAATGATTAAAGGAAGTGACCTGATACTGATTACACAAGCCTGCGAAGTTAAACTTCATTAAAGTTGTTTGGGTTTTAATAACGGATTTTCCATAATCTAGCTACGCAAATTTCGAAAATGATATTAATTTTTTCTATCACGTAAGATTTTTTGTACATCTAGAAGAAGAAAAAACTCTTTCTTAGATCAAATTATTATTTCGTTTACCACAAAGAACATTTTTTTATTATTATGTTTGTTAACAAAAATAAACTGAAGAAAAGGATAGAACATTGATATCAAACGAATATGCATCCTCATTCATCCTGATTTTTTGTGTAAAGTCTACGTCTTTTAGTCTCAAAACTACGTGTTACGGTCTTTCTTTTATGCATTGCGTTATGACATTTTGTAAAACATCTGTACGTGATGGAGAAAAATAGATATCATTTTAGGATTAAGCGTACAGGAATTACTGTAGGACACGTAAACATTTCAAGACAATAAAACCAACGCAGGCTTGTGTTATGGTTGTGTTTATAACTACCTCAATGGAATTGAAAGGAAGCCAAGAAGGGGAATGGAAATATGAATCATGTCAACCACAGACAATATTATGTCAAGGAACAATAATTTAATTAGGCTTCCCATCTGTAAGACGGGAAGGTCTTTTGTTTTAGTCATTTTCTTTCTTTCTTCCGTCGTTTTCGTTACCACAATTAATTCCAAAGACATTTATGTTATATCATGTTATTGAAACTTTGTATGCACCTAGCTTGCAAAGTGAATACAACTTTTTTCACAAGCTGATAACAAAAGACAATCAGAAATTCACTTTTTGACTTTATAAATACATGTTATTTATCTTTATACATGTATTATTTATTTGTCCTGTGAAAATACTGTGGAGCTTATGTAAACATCAACTTTGTACATAAATTAAAGAGAATGTAACCAATCACTTTAAATTTTGGCATGAAACTGGTAAGAGATGAACAAATTTCAACAATGTCACTTGCTCTAGGAAGACTGGCAATGTTTGTTTCATGAGTTAAAATCAACAATGTCACTTGCTCTAGGGAGACTGGCAATGTTTGTTTCATGAGTTAAAATCAACAATGTCACTTGCTCTAGGGAGACTGACAGTGTTTGTTTCATGAGTTAAAATCAACAATGTCACTTGTTCTAGGGAGACTGACAGTGTTTGTTTCATGAGTTAAAATCAACAATGTCACTTGCTCTAGGGAGACTGACAGTGTTTGTTTCATGAGTTAAAATCAACAATGTCACTTTCTCTAGGGAGCCTGGCAATGTTTGTTTCATGAGTTAAAATCAACAATGTCACTTGCTCTAGGGAGCCTGGCAATGTTTGTTTCATGAGTTAAAATCAACAATGTCACTCTTCTAGGGAGACTGACAGTGTTTG